ATCAAACATCGTTCCATCACAGCCCCCTACCAATAATAGGAATGAAAGGAATGAAATTTGACTTTTTATTATAGAGGCTACATGGGAGTATGAATGAGTCCAGTGGGGTCCAATGACTAATGGACAACTATCGAGTCGGCAAGGTCCAAAATATCGAGCGTATTTCCAAATTGAAAGTATTTGTATGTCTATATAGTTCTAGTAAAAGATAGTGCCCCCTACCTTTCAGCAGTTCCCCTTCAATAACACAACGCGGTACTCATCGCTACATTCTGTTGGTCACCGTAACATGACTTCAAATTTAATTTTATGACTCTTCAGCCAATCATAAAACTCGGTTAGTAAAAATTATCGAATACGAACACCGGTCACCGTAACATGACTTCAGATTTAATTTTATGACTCTTCAGCCAATCATAAAACTCGGTTAGTAAAAATTATCCAATACGAACCACCAATTCTTCAGTCCACGTGGACTAATTCGTTGCGGCATAATTCCTTTGTATTGGTTTTTTTGGCCTTTACTTCGCCGACACCTTTAAGATTACTATATCGGTTACTTCGATTATAACCGCTGTCATCAATGACGAGTCTACACTTACCACGCCCCTCGCGGGACACAGAGGGAAAGAATGTCCTTCCTGTCTTTTAATCATAATGTTATGCTCAATATGGATTTGTTCGTACTGATATTGAATAAATAATTTTATGTATTTTCCGTTTACCCCGCAATGGAGATGGTTCCAGATTCAATTAGGTGTTGTGAAGGACATACGAATTGTTTACTCTTGATTTACAATAAATAAAATTCAAGGTTTTTCAAAATCAGTATTCATTTGTTTTTCTGACAATGATTTTTTTTTCAAATTCTGTAATTTTCCAATAATTTACTACCACCTAAGTGAACTCGATTAACAATTGTATTTTGATTATTTTCCACCGGATATAAACCAGACTACCTTCAAGGCTCGATCTGCCAGTCTTGCACCTGAGGTGCAATGTCATCCCGGCTTTCAGAAATATTGGACGAATCCACCCGGTCCTGTATCACCAGAGTATCCTGAAGTATGGTATACTTTCTGCGTGTATACAGAACTCACACGTTTCTGAACTTTAAATCAAACATCAGTTTCATCAGAATCTCCTACAACCGATAAAAATGAAATTTGAAATGATAGACCAAAGACTTTTAGTGAAGGTTTCACGGAAATAAGTCCAGTGGGGTCCAATGACTAATGGACAAATTACGAATCGGCAACGTTCAAAATATCAAAAGTATTTCCAAATTTCAAGTATCTGCATGTAACTGCTGCCATCTGCAATGACGAATCTATACTAGCTACGCTTCCGCGTCGCGGGACGCGTAGGGAAAGAATTTTCATCATTCGATCAAAATGTTATGCTCAGAGGTGCCTTTTCATGATTTTGGAATGGTAATGTACAAAATGTTATTTTCTGTATTACCCTGTAGAAGAGACAATAGAAAGTTTGATTAGGTCTTCTGAAAAAAAAAGGGACCTTTGGACTTTATCAGGAATGGTTGTTCACTCTTGATTTAAAATAAATATATTCGGTCGAACTTCAAAATCTATATAGTTTGACATATGCACCTCAGGTGCAAAATAGGCAGATCGAGCCTTGAAGGTAGTCCGGTGGATAATAATCGAAATACAATTGTTAATCAAGTTTGATCAAATCACTTCCGAAGAATGGCAAACGCATTGCCGACATGTAGTAGATATAGAGCGGAAATATTGAGAAAATTAAACATTCACATACGTTCAAATAAAGGTAAATCCAGTGATTATAAATTTAAATGACGATATCTTCACAAGCACAAGCAGAAGTGAAGATAAAAAAAATTATATTCAGATAGTGACCGATTAAACTTCATTTTTAGATAAGTGTATCATTATATAACATCATAATGAACTGTACCACTACCTATAATACTAAATAAAATATGAAAAGAAATTACAAACAAGTCATGTCCCGGTTGCTATCCTAATCAATACTAATTATAGTCACGACACTGGCCGGCATTGGGTCTTATCGTAATCCAATAGTAATTTAGTTGAAGAGTCAATTCCTGCGCGATCGCTCGCCTTCAGCTGTGGCGTGGACTGTAAACTGGTTTATGTCCGGTGGATGATAATCAAAATACAATTGTTGATCAAGTTCTCTTTGTTGATGGTCTATATGTGACCTATTCCACAATTACTGATTTTTTCTTTGAATTCATTTCAGGTATACCAATGAAAACTTTGGATTCTGGAGAACTTCAAATTATAAGCCTCCTGCGAGGGAAATAATCTAAGTTAGCGAATATTCATTCGTCATTATAGTTGGCAGCAGTTACATACAGATACTTCAAATTTGTCCATTAGTCATTGGACCCCACTGGACTTTTTCCTATGTAGCCACATAGTACACACAGAAAATGAGTATACCATACTTTGGTGATACTCTAGTGGTACAAGACCGGGTGTATTCGGCCAATGTTTCTGAAAGCCGGGATGACATATATTGTGGTTCACAAGATCCTTTTTTTGGAACTTCTGTCCAAGGCACTGAAAATTATGATCCAGGGCTCATTCGATTAGAAATGACCTCCAGCAACTTTTTGAAAAATTTCAAGAGGGGGTCGAAAACATTGCAAAAGTTATAAACAATTTAGTAAAAAAAGGGGGGTTTGGTTTTTTTGGAAATATCTTGGAAAACATTATAAATAATTTGTTTTGAACAAAATGATTTTTACGATATATTTTTTTAAATACTGCCAACGTAATTATTCACGAAACGTAATTATTCTACACGTATATACAAAATATGGACTGAATTCGATATTCGCGTAGCTTGTTAGTTCAAAAACTACACTTATCTACAGAACTTGATATTTCATTTGTTTTATCTCTGTTATTTTGTTGCATTAACGTTATCATAATTATTTCTGCTGTGAAATTTTTCATTTCAAATAATGATGGACATCTCAGCTTGGATGTCGAACAAAAGTGCGTTTTTATAAAAAATCGTTGCTCCGATCGATTTTTCACACGAGTACTTTTATTCATGAAATTGTCTAAGTAACCTGATTTTGTTGAAAAATATTGAAAAATATCCGTCTTTTCAAAGTTTTGGGGTATGGACCATCCGAGGTAGTCCGTTAACCACTGACTCCTGCATGAGAGCTCATCGAAGCAATTCATATGTTGAGTGAATCACCAAAATTTGGTTGATTTTGAATATTGACTCGAAAAGTTATCAAGGTAAACATTTTTCATTACGTAACTTTGAGGGCCCGTAACTTGATAACGAAGGATTTTAGGAACAAAAGTTATATGAAGTACTGGTGATATTTTGACCTCATCTATACATTCCTTGGGAAAGCAGCTATTATTTAAAATTTTCAACATAATTATACTGTTTATGAATTTTAAAAAGTGATAATTATCCATTATGAATGTAAAACGATAACAGAGTGCTCCAACAATATTTTTTGATTTCGTTATATGATTTGCTACAGCTGATATAGGCGGCTCTAGTCATTAGTCTCGTGTCCTGGGTAGGCAATGTTAATAACTCTCCGAGCCACCTAGGAGCATCATAGCTTCACAGTCCGTCTTTCATGTAATTGTTGGAATCGAACTCGACCAGATATTTTTCTCGAGAGAATTTATCTAGTTGAAGCTGACTGACGGACTGTGAATAGCCATGATGCTCCCTAGGTGGCTCAGGGAGTTATTAACAGTGCCTACCCAGGACACGAGACTAATGACCAATGCGGAACGGATAGCAAATAAAGGATTTTATGAGTGTTCGGGCCGTTTTCTACCTGCAGTAACGTGCGTTTTGGCATTTTAACTAAAATAGTTATTGAAACTAATGTCTATATTTATTACCTAATTTATATACCATCAATTTTGTTATAATATTTCGATTCGAATTATTTACATAATGATGAATGGATATGCTCATTCAAGAAAATATTAGATTTGAGCAAAAATTATGGTGTGTTATCATTATATAAGTCTGATGGATCTTCGCCGAATATTATGAATTAGGGTTCCACAATTTCCTCAACTAAATGGTCTAATTTCCGCATGGAATCCTTATTTTTTATAACATGTTTAGAATGTTTTCGCCATTTTTTGGAATCGTCAGTTTATAAGGATTCCTTGAAAATTATTTTGAAATATTCATTTTTAAATGACTGGTTTTTTCTTGCAACGAAATCCTTTTCTTGAACCCAACCAGTTCAATGGGATTAGGTTAGCAATGATAAGGGGGCAGTATAATAATGTCGTTTCTGTGCCTTTTTGTCAACTACATATTCTGTGAAGCGAGCTTCATTTGAACATAGTATGAAAATTAGTATTTTTTTAACAATACATTTTGTAACGGCTAGTTTAGCGTTACAACAAAATGAGCATGGCTATTCAGGAACACCCTGTACTAGCCATTGAACAAAATGAATTTGTAGTTGTGTACTGAAAGTTAAAGATTGTAGGAAGTTCGGCAAGCAAAACATTCTACGCACTCCACAAAACGTGTTAAATGCCAGGGGATTAAAACAAAACAAAACGGGTACTCGAAGTTTGGACGATAGAATAAGTCGAAAAAGTAGCGAACGGTTCACGAAGAATTTGAAGTGATTTTTTTTCATCCAAATTTTGGGATTTTTCTTTGCTGAATCTTATGTTACACTAGTTTTCATGTTTTCTTGTGTAGATACGTTATAAATGTATTTGTGACATTTGGTTGAAAACTAGTACCTTGAGAGGGATTTACATTCGCTGCTGTTTCTGCAAAATCGTAAGTCGAAGATTTTCATACAAAATTTTCTTGCAACTCGAAACCGAACGTTTTCAGGCAGCACTTTCCAATAAAATCGAGAAGCTGCCGAATTTCATATATGATCGTAGACCCTCATCAAAAGAGGTAGTTTTACTCTTATTAGTAATTAAGTAATAGGTTTCAATTTATTTTGTTGTGCATTCTAGGGTCTTACTCAAGGGTCTCACTCTAGGATCGTA